TATATATATATATATATATATATATATCTATATATATATTTTTTGTTTCTATTTTTATTTTTTTATTTTAAATGCCTTTATGTGTTGTGTAAATAAAAAAAAAAAAATAAGATTTTCTAAGCTTTTCAATTATATCATTTAATTAATTAATTAATTAATTAATTAATGCAGAATACGAAGAAACGTCGCAAAATTAAACAATTTTGTCCATGTGTGTTATCTCGTAATAGGGGGTTTGGTGGCGGGGGGAGGGGAGGGGGGAGAAGGGTAAATAAAAAACATCAATAAAAAATCATATCATTTATAATCGATCGTTCGTTAGGGAAATATTGATAATATTTTTAAGATAATTATCTTATAAGCTAATCCCATAGGATTATTATATACATGTGTGTATAATATAATACACATGTGTGTGTGTAATTCAAATATCGCATTTAATTCGATCACGTGTCATATCATTGTTATAAATAATTTAAGTGGCTTTTAATAGACCAATAATAGTAAAAGGAGGTGAAGGAGGAGGTGGAGGTGGAGGTGGTGGAGGGCTGTAGATGTTATCAATAATTAGAAATAATATATAGAAAAAATAAATGATATTAGTTCATAGGAATTTTTAGAATTCTATGGGGCATCCCCTTGTTTGGATCATCTCATTGATTTAAAAAAAAAAAAAAAAAAAAAAAAAAAAAAAAAAAAACAGACTCATATCACAATTTAAAAATATTAACAAAAAAAGAAGAAAAATAATAAAAAAGAAATATTATTAACAAGGGGGAATAGACAAAAAAAAAAGTATAAGGAGATTAATTTTTATTAATTGTTATTCCTATTGGAATTTAATACATATATATATATATATGTTGAATTTTTATTAATAATTGATAATTATATAATAATATTTGATTGTCGTATCAAACAAGAAAGAAATTATTGTATGAAAAAAGAATAAGGAAACAAATTGAAATAATTTATAGAAATTTATTATTAATTATATCTTATTGAATAATTATATAATAATTTATTATTTATAAATATATAATATTATACAGTATATATTAATAATTATATAATTAATTATTTTAATATTAATTAATATTATATTATATAATTAATTATATAATTATTATAATATTAATTAATAATATTATTTAATAATATTAATTATATAATTGATGTTATAGGAAAAAACGTGTGTTGTGTCTTGTCAATAACATTCTTAACGATGAAATGAAAAATTATGTATTTCANATTATATAATTAATTATATAATTATTATAATATTAATTAATAATATTATTTAATAATATTAATTATATAATTATTAATATATATATATATAAATTAATATAATATTTAATTATATATTATATTAATATTAAATATTAATATAAATTTATAATATGTTAATAATTATATATTTATTAATAATAAATTATTATTATTTATATAATTTATAAAATCTATAAAATATAAGAAATAAAAACTATATATATATATAATATATAATTTGTAGAAATTAATAATTATATTTTATTGAATGACGTTTCTTCGTTTAAAAAAAAAGAAAAAAAAAAAACATTTAAACAAATAAAAAAGGGCTATTATTAATATTGAATTGCGATCAGAAATAAATACGTTAATAACAATATGTTTTTTAAATGTATTTTATAATGAACAACAACATTTTGTAATAACTGGCGAATATGTTCAATCAAATCAAATCAAATCAAATCAATCAATTAATCAATGTAAATTAATATATTATTATAAACAATTAATACGTAGAAATGAATAAATGTTAATTTTAGAATCTGGCCTCGCAGCCGATAAATATCCACGTTTAATTGTTAATTGTTCGATCATATGCATAATGAGATGTTATACAATAATAATATTATTGTCAAAAGTAAACACACACACACACACACACATTCACATATACAAAAATGTTCATTAGGTTATTCAATAAAACACTATTTCTAATGTTGCATTGTAAAAAAGAAAAAAAAAAAAAGGGAAAAACAGAAACAAAACCAAAAAATGAACTTATTAATAATAATTAATAATCTTTCTTTTAATTATTAATAATAATATTTTTTGTTTTTGTTTAATTTTTCTTCGACAAACAAAATGTGTATTAATTAAATTGTAAAAAAAAAAAAAAACTAATTATTATAAACTATTATTATTATTATTCTTACTTGGTAATGGAATTTTTTTCTAAATAATCGATTCGATAGAGAAAAAATTGTTGCAAAATGTTTTTTTTGAAAAGAAATGATGTATACAAAAAAAAAAACAAAATAGAAAATATTAAATAAAAAAAAACAATAACATAGATATATATATATATATACACAAACACACATTCATGCTGTAGGATAGGATAGGTTAGTAAGAGCGATTATAATTTATTAATAAAAATGAAATATTGTTAATTTTATATAAATTAATTTTGAAACCTTTATGATTTATATGCAATTATCAGATGTATCATTTTCATAATATAATTAAAATATTTTTTTAATATAATTGATATAACATAAATATAAATATAAATATAAATATAAATATAAATATAAATATAAATATATTCATTGTAGATCCAAGTGGTCAATATAATTAAAAAATAAAAATAAAAAATAAAAAAGAAATAGAACAACAAAAAAATAGATAAACAAGATAAACAATTAAATTTAAATGGAAAAATATCGAAAGATTGTTATGAAAAATAATCATTAAAAAAAAAATTTATACACACACATACACACGAATATATATAAACACATATATATTTATCGTAAAATAAATTCAGGACGTTTAAAGACAATAATAAAGTTATTATCATAATAATAATATTATTGTTATTATTATTATTATTATTTATTATTATAATAATAAAGTTATTATTATATTTAAATTAGTTATTATTATATTTATATAGTTATTATATTAACATACCTGTTAAGAAAATTGTTCATTGATTTTAAAATAAATATTTGATACTTTTTTGAGCACAATTTTACAGGTTTTTAATCCAATACCGATGAATATTATTTATGAATGAGGTATTTGTATTATTATGTATTATTATTATTATTATAAATATATGTCTACGTATCAGAAGATTTAAAAAAATAAAATTTTTTTTCCATTTATTATTTAATTAATATTTCAATGAAAATGAAATTTTATTTTAATATATTTTTTTTTTTAAACAATTTCAATTTACACGAATAAATATTTTTGTTAATTTTGGGAATATTTAAACACCTTACAATAATTATTTTCATTTGCATTATATGAAAAAAAAAAACACAAGTTAGACGTGAAACCTTCAAATAAACAAGTTTCGAGAATACTTTATTATACAATATTATTATAATATTATTTGTACTATTAATTAGTAATTATTTATTTAATTATTAATTTAATTATAAAAATGCGCGCCTGTTCCTATGCAACCCGCCAGACACACTTTGAAAATGTTGCTTGCGAGAGACATCTACTGGGACAGAATTTTTTTCAAATCAAAACTGTTTATACACGTGTGTATGACGGGTTGCCTATCTTTCGAGCAGAAAAAAAATTCCGTCCCGACAGATGACGCTCCCAAGCAACATTTTCAAAGTGTGTCTGGAGGGTTGCATTCATACAGGCGCGCATTTTTATAATAATTACAAAGAAAGTAAATAATAAAATACTTTAAAAAATATTTGTAAATCAAATATTATTATAAATAATGATATAAAATTGAACTTTAATATTGTAATTCATTTGTGCATACTTTTAAGAATATTATTTAGTATTTTATATGAAATATAAATAAAAAATCATGTGTGCATTCAATAAACTAAGTTTCGAGAGAATAAAACGAATGCAGAGTATCAAGAGTAAGATAATTGTAGGATTGATTCATTTATTATAATGATTGAATTATTTATTTATATAATAATTGAAATATTATTAGGATATATGGAAAGAATTATAATAAATAAATCATTGAATACAGGCATTTAAATTGATTTATTGTTTGCAATGAATTAATTTTCGTTTGCATCTACGATTTATTTCGAACGATCGTCGTACATTTGTCGATTTTTTTTTAAAAACGACATAAACATTTCATTTTCAAGTTAGTTAGATAGATAAATAGATAGTTAGATAGATAGATAGATAGATAGATAGATAGATGGATAAATATAGATAGAGATAACTAGTTAGATTAAATTTGTAATTTTACCGGCTCAAGGGTAATACACGTGGCTCATTTAATTACATGTGTTGTTTTTTATTTTATTATTCGAACAATTCAATATTAAATAATGATAATTAAATAAATAATAAAAAAATAAAAAAACAAACATATATATATATATATAATTGATTTAAAAACTAATCATAGTAAGAATTTGTTAATATATTATTGTTCATACTATAATTGAATAATTTGAAAATTAATTGAACCTTGTTTATTGGTAAACCCTAGAGCCGGTGATTGCAGGGGTGAGTTCTTAAATAGTTTGATAGAATACGAAATAAAAAAAAAAATAAAAATAAAAGAAAGAGAGAAAGAGAGATAGAGAATGAATGAGAGAAAGATAGAAAGTAATAAAAAAAAAAATATATAAAAAATAATAAATAATCCCATAAGATGAGTTGAGATTTTCAATAAATATTGCAAAACTCGTAGGTGTTGTTCCTCAAAAAAAAAAAAGAAGACTCAAATAATAAAAAAAAAAGAATAAAAAATTAATAAATAAAAAACACACAAAAACAAAAACAAAAAAGAGAAGAGAAATAAATTAATATAAAATAATAAATAATAATAATAATAATAATATTATAATTTTACTGACGTTTCAATGAATGACCACACTTTTGACAAAGTATGCCGTCCTTGTCATGATCGTTCTTATAATTGTCATCATCGTATTGTTGTTGTTTTTGTTGTTGTTGTTGTTTATCATCCTTGATAGTTTGATTCGATTTAATACGAGTCGTTAATAATTCACCACCTGTGTAAGGTCGATGACCAATCGCACCTATGGTTTCACTTCTAGGTATACCAACACCACTACCCTTTTCTCCGGATGACATACTTGATAAATTTTGACCTTGAATATCTTGTTGTTTGATAAATGAATCATTATTACTATTGGCTATAGCACATACTGAATGAACTTTGGCTATTTCGTTTTTTATTTTATTATTATCATCATCATCATCATTATCGTCATGAAATTCATCAGATTCCGAACGTTCCATCGTATTTTCTCGAGATATCTCTGAAATAAAAATAAATTTTTTTTTTTTTTTTTTCATAGATGTTAGAACAAATTGCAAAGTATAAAATAAAATTGAAAGATCAAAGATTTTTATGTTGTGTTAGATGTAATTCTTTGAATAATTTTGAATAAATTGTTTATTAGGGATGGAATTATTTTGTTATTAGTATGGTTGTGTGTGTGTGTTTTTTTATTGTAATTGATTTTTTGTATAAGAAAATATATATAAATATATAATAAATAAATAATAAATATATATATTATAAATATAAAATATATATTAAATAATAAATTGTTTTTTATTATTTAAATATATAATTAATATAGTATTATATAAATTTATATATATATATATATATATATATACATTATAAATTTTTATAATATTTATAAAATATTGTAATAAAATATATGAATTTATAATAATATTATTATAACATATATAAAATTTATATTTTATATGTATTATAAATATTGAAATATTTAAAAAATTATATATATATATATATATTATTATATTGTTATAAATTTTTATAATATTTATAAAATATCGTAATAAAATATATAAAATTATAATAATAATATAATAACATATATAAAATTTGTATTATATGTATTATAATAAATATTATATTATATTTAATATATATATATATATATATATAATATAATATTAAATATACATTTACTAATAATTTAAGTTTTTTTTTGTTTCTTATAGATTATTATATTGTTAAAACAATTAATAAACAAAAGAACATTATATTATTCGTAATTATATTGACAAACATATATGTATATGAAACTTTTATCAAATGCATATATGCGTTCATAGTATTCAAAGATTTTTAATGAAATCTCATGGTTGATGTTAAAAAATGAAATTTACCGTTGTAAGTAGAATAATCATCGTCATTTTTGTCGATGCTTAATGTTGATTCGAAATGTGTCATACTGTCATCGTCCTCTTTCATTTGTGGAAGCTCATTTGATGTTTCTGTTAATCTTCCGCAACATACGTAACCCTTTTTTCATAAATTATTATTTATTTAAATATATATCTGTACGTTTTATATTATCATACATGTACAACAAGTCAATTATTCTTTATATCGATATGATAAAAAAAAAAAAAAAAAAAA